GCGCATAACTGCACCATACCACTACCTGTAGTACTGTACACTGTACCACTACCTGCACCACTACCACTACCTGTAGTACTGTACACTGTACCACTACCTGCACCACTACCACTACCTGTAGTACTGTACACTGTACCACTACCTGCACCACTACCGCTACCTGTAGTACTGTACACTGTACCACTACCTGCACCACTACCGCTACCTGTAGTACTGTACACTGTACCACTACCTGCACCACTACCACTACTACAGTCGCGCGCGTGCGTGCGTCTGTGTGTGTTTACAGACAAGTGCTTCGAGATGTCGTCGTACGTGGAGAGGAAGGCTGTGAAGATGAGTAAGAAGCAAGCTGCTGAGTACGTCGAACATAACAAGCTATACATCAGCCGCATCTATCCTAACGGCACGCGCACCGACTCCAGTAACTTCGACCCCGTGCCTCTGTGGAACACAGGCTGCCAGATAGGTACGCCCTGTGCACGAAAGACACGGGATTGGGGAGAAATGTGGGAGGAAGCGGGGTGGGAGAGTGGGAGACTGGGAGTGTGTGTGGGTGGTGTGTGTGCATGAGAGAGAGAGAGAGAGATGCGGGCCAGCCCACTCGATGATGATACAATTGATTAGCTTAATTGGCATCACAGCTTAATTGGCATCACAGCTTAATTGGCATCACTGCTTAATTGGCATCACAGCTTAATTGGCATCACTGCTTAATTGGCATCACAGCTTAATTGGCATCACTGCTTAATTGACATCACATCGTGTTTTGGTGCGCCGCCTGTTTCCTAGTGGCGTTAAACTACCAGACTTCCGGAGAACCGATGCAGCTGAACAAGGGAAAGTTCCTGGATAATGGCGGATGTGGCTACGTCCGAAAGCCTCAGTATCTCCTAGACCGGAAGCTGATGTTTGACCCGACACTTCCGGGATCGCACGTAGGCGGATCTAAGACACTTACGATCCGGGTACTTACCTCCCCCTACTATATATAATACATATATAAATACGATTCATAATTGATTCATCGATGAATTATTGATCATCTATCGGCTGAATTATCGATTATGTATCGTGCGGCAGGTGATCAGTGCTCAGAGTCTACCTAAGCCGAAGAGTTCGCTATCGGGAGAAGTGATCGATCCGTACGTGCAGATACGGATCCACGGCGGAGCAGCTGACGCCCCCAAAGTCAAGACAAAGGTCATCGACGACAACGGTACTTCGCCACCTGGTGGCTCTCTCAGGGCAGCGTCCTTAACATTTTTATTACATTGTACACACACATATGTACGTGCGTGCGTGTGCGTGATTTGGTACATGCATGCGTTTCTGTGCGTGCGTGCGTGCGTGCAGTGTTTGTGTATAAGCGACCTTATTAGCCCGGGTATGCACCACTAATTGCTAAATTTCTTTTAAAAAATTCCATTTCACTTGCAAAATAAAAACTCCGTCACAGCTGTGTTCCTGTTTATTATTCATGATGTCGTTTTAAGCAGCATTTTTAACGCCTTATTTTGCTGCCTGTTTTTTTCCAACATGGCCAACGTACGATTTGGCATTTTTTTCTATAGAAAAATTAGAGTTTCTCGTTTTTCACACGAATTTAACCACTCAGAAAAAACATTCCGTCAGCTAAAAGTTTAAAAACGCACTTCGTAAAAAACTGCGAGACAGCACTCACGACTCTTCGATTGTTTGTCCTGCCATCTAGCGGCTTTAAGCGGCACTTTCCGTTAAACCCTCTCGGTCTCCACCACCAGCTGCTGTTTACCGCGTGTAGAAACATAGGCGTGAGAGCGGAACGTGTTTTCCTTCGCAGGCTTCAACCCGATATGGAACGAAGAGTTCAAGTTTCGTCTGCTGTTGCCGGAGCTGGCACTCGTTCAATTTTCAGTCTATGACAAAGATGCGGGTTTCAAAGATTTCATCGGACAGTACACGCTTCCCTTCAAGTATCTAGCCCAGGGTAGGTTTACATACCCTAATCACACAGCCATGACAGGTTACATACCCTAACACACCATCCACAGAGACTGCTGAACTACAGCTACTAGTCTAGGAAACTAGTAAAGAGGGAGAGTAAGAGTTACGGATACGATGGGCATGAGGGGTGGACGAAAGCAAAAGAGAGAGAGAGGACAGAGTAAGAGTGATAGAGAAAGAGAGAGAGAGAGAGAGAGAGAGAGAGAGAGAGAGAGATAGAGCGAATGATAGAGCGAGTGCGAGGCAGAGAGATAGAGAAGGCAGAGGGAGGAGGTGCACAGCATTTCATGCTCCTCATGTAGGACATTCGTCTTGCGGCAACCCTGAGATATCATGAAAGCTTCGTAACTACTGGATGAGATATGCCAATCAACATGCTAACACACGGGGCCGTGTGCTAGCCCTCTACCCCTTCTCTCTCTCTATCTCTCTCACACACACACACACACGCGCGCACGCACGCACGCAACGGCACTTGCACGCGCGCGCCACACGACACACACACACACCACACACACACCACACAGCCGACGCACAGCACACACACACACACACGCACAATCACACACACACACCACACACACACACACACACACACAGGCACACCGCAACAACACACACACACAACACACACACCACACACACGCGCGCGCGCACACACACACACGCGCGCGCGCACCACACACACACCACACACACACACACACATACAACCATCACACACAGGCCGGACACGTGTCTTTATTCATAGCGTTCACGGCGATTTATCAAAATATTGCATACCATCCAACAATACGACACACGCACGCGCCGCCCACTAACGTAACGGCACGCGCGCGCACAACATAAGCGCCACGCGCGCACACTACCACTGCCGCCGCACTCTAACGTGCAACTGTGCACGCGCGCACAAATAATGTACACGCACGCGCGCACACTAACCACTGGACCGCGCGCACACGTAACGACAACTGACGCGCAGCCACACATAACTGAACACGCACGCGTCCGCCACTAACGATACAGCCACGCCCGCCACTAAACGACTACACGCGCACGCGCGCACGACTAACGTACACGCACGCGCAGCACACTACAGTAAGCGCCACGCCCGCTCACTACACACGCACCACGCAGCGCGACCTAAACGTACACCGAATCACGCGCACCACTAACGTACACGTCACGCCGATCGATAGGATCGGATATGCTTGGACGAACTACCACCTCTATTTATAACAGTAACTGCTGCTTTCATCGGTAAAGCTTTCTCTCTATGCCTCTCCATTCCCTCTCATCTCTTCCTCTCTCTCTCTCTCTCTCTGCGTCTCTCTCCTCCTCTCTTCTCTCCTCCTCTCTTATCTCTCTCTCGTCTCATCTCCCCATCTCTCTCTCTCTCCATCTCTCTCTACTCTCTCTCTCTCTCTCTCTCTCTCTTCGTCTCTCTCCATCTCTCCTCTCTCTCTTCTTCTCCTCTCTCTGCTCTCTCGCCTCGTCATTCGTCTCTCACACATTCTCTCTACCATTCTCTTCGCTCTCTCTCTTTGTCTCTCTCTTTCTCTCTACTCCGTCTCTCTCTCTCATCTCTTCTCTGTGCAACACGCACATACGTTGGGCGTGCAGAGCGTGAAAAGAGAGAGAGAGGAGAGAGAGAGAGATGAGAGAGAAGAGAGAGAGAGAAGATAGCTGGAAGAGAGAGGAGAGGTTGAACGGCGCAGCATCTGCGTATGTGTTTTTACCTAGCGGCCCTACGCGCTATGCGCCGCTGCGGGTAAAAAGTTACATTGCGTGGCGACAGTTCGCATACGTTAGAGACTTATTAACGCGGTGCGAGGGGTGGCCTGCCGCGCTCGCCTATCTCTCTCTCTTCTCGCCCTCTCTCTATCTCTCGTCTCTCTCTCTTCTTTCTCTTCTCTCTCCTCTCTCTCCTCTCTTCTCTCTCTCTCTCTTCTTCTTTCTTTCGCTCTCTCGCTTCTCGTCTCCTTTCACCCACGCGCCTCCTCCATCGTCTTCATCACCGCATCGGCCTCGTGCTGCAGTAGCAGAGCAGCAGCCAGCAGCAGTAGCAGCAGCAGTAGCAGTACAGCAGCCAGGCAGCAGCAGACAGCAGCTAGCTCAAGATTGCAGGACAGCAGCAGAACAGCAAGTAAGCAGCATAGCCTAGCACAAGCTCGCAGCAACTGCAGCTGCATAGCAACGCAGGCAGCAGCAGTAGCAAGTCTAGCAGGCAGCAGCAGTAGCAGCTACAGGCGCAGTAGCAGCACAGCGGCATAGCATAGCAGTTACAGCAACAGCAGCTAGCGCAGGACAGGCAGCAACAGCATAGCAGCACGTACAGAACAGCAGGCAGCTTGCTGCTGCCATGCTGCAGTAGCAACAGAGGCAGACAGCAGTAGCGTATGCAGTCAGCACAGCAGCAGCGCAGTAGATAGGAGCAGTAGCAGTAGCCAGTAGAGTACAGTAGCAGTAGCCGTAGCAGTAGCAGTAGCAGCAGCAGCAGCAGCAGCAGCAGTAGCAGCAACAGTAGCAGTAGCAACAGTAGTAGCAGCAGTAGCAGCAGTAGCAGCAGCAGCAGCAACAGCAGTAGCAGCAGCAGAGCAGCAGCAGCAGCAGCAGCAGCAGTAGCAGTAGCAGCAGTAGCAGCAGCAACAGCAGCAGTAGCAGTAGCAGCAGCAGCAGCAGCAGTAGCAGTAGCAGCAGAGAAAGCTGGAGGCTGCATTGCGCGTTGCCATGCCTCCGTCAGCGCTCGCAGCGCACGCCTGGATAGCGCGCTAATAGATATATGTGACTCAGGCGTCGCCAGCAGGCGCACAGTCTCGCTAGAAAAGCAGAAGAGAAGGTACAATAAGGGTTATACAGGAGGAGAAACAGCAGAAAGAAGTAGTTAACGCGAGACGCTAAGAAAAGGATGCCGATAAGAAAAGAAAACAGAGGAGGAAGATAGGAATAAAAGTAAGGAAAAAGAGGAGGAGGAAGAAAAGAAGTAGAGAAGGAGGAAGAAGAATCTGAGGATAACTTCAGCTGCAGACGGGAGAAACATCAGACTAGAGACGCGGGTGTGAGCAGTGAGGATAGCGCTGGACGCTGGAACGGGAAGTTAACCTTTGATGCTAATGTAAATAACGCTAGAAAGAGAGAGAGAGAGAGAGAGAGAGAGAGAGAGTGGGTTAACGCCGGAGCCAATGTAAACAGTGTTGGAGAAACATAATCACAGAAGGTGAGTTGCTCCAGGAATAGGAGGATAATAACAGTCGATACTATATTCCGTGAGTACATCCGGTGGGAAAGATCCTGTACAATACATCCGGTGAGTAACATCCGGTGGAAAAGATCCTGTATACTACATCCGGTGAGTAACATCCGGTCGGCTACAGTCATCATGTGTCGCCTACCATGCGTCACGTTGGCTCTGACGGTGACCTTGCTGTTATCGTCAATATTGGCGTCCTCGTCGGTGTCGCTGCACAACAACATGACGAACCAGCAGATCATGGACTTCCTGTTTGGCCGTAAGTCTCGTTACGACAGTCGCGTGAGCGCCAGCGTCGACGGCGGCCCCGTCTCCGTCGTCGTCGACGTCTTCATCCGGGCACTCTACAAGATCGACGTCATAGCGATGAGCTTCGAGGCGGATTTCATCCTCCGGCAGACGTGGGTCGACCCGCGACTCAACCACGAGGTGACGGGCCGCGATGCCGACGATTACGTCACGGGGTCACCTCAGGTCGTCGCCAGCATCTGGAGACCTGACCTGTACTTCGCTAACGCTCGTAACTCTCGCTTCCACGACATCACGCGTCCGAACACCCTCGTGCGAATCTACCCTAACGGTACGGTGCGACTCAACTCTCGCATCACGTCAACGTTCTCCTGCCAGATGTACCTCGCCTCTTACCCGTTCGACCAGCAGAACTGCTTCCTACAGCTAGGCAGCTTCGGCTACACGACCGACGAGCTGGACTTTGCGTGGAAACAGGATGAAGCGATCAGTGTGGATGAGGAGATTCAGCTTCCACAGTACGAGCTAGACCGCGCCGCGATCCGCTGGCAGCGCATCGACAACAGCCACTACACGGGTAACTTCAGCACGCTGAGAGCTCACTTGCGCTTCAACAGAGAGTATCAGTTCCAGGTCGTACAGAACATGATGCCCTGCGTTTTCCTCGTAGTCTGTTCCTGGGTGTCGTTTTGGCTGGACGTACAGGCGGCTCCGGCACGCGTCGCGCTGGGCGTGACGACGTTCCTCGCCATCTACACTCAGAGCGCCGCTGTGCGGTACGGGCTGCCGCCCGTCTCTTACCTGAAGGCGATCGACGTCTGGTTCATCGCCTGCAATCTCTTCATCTTCTTCTCGCTGCTAGAGTTCGCTTTCGTTAACTACTTTACACGCCGCTCGCAGCGCCGTCACCGGGAGAGCGGGGAAGTAAAACCTGAGGCGGCGGCGGATAAAGAGAATGCGGCAAACGGATCGAGAGGAGGAGCAGGAGGAGGAGGAGGAGGAGGAGGAGGAGGAGAAAAAAGTCCTGATCACGGGTTACCGAAGCTACGGCGACAGCTGACCCGGAGGTTGAGTCAGTTTCACATCCTGGTCGACAAGGACAAGCGGAAAGCGAAGATGATCGACATCGTATCCCGTACCCTGTTCCCGCTCGGCTTCCTGCTCTTCCTCGTCATATTCTGGGGCATATACTCCGCCGCCAGCGAGAACCTGTGAGAGGACAGGGTAAGAGCTGCCTGGAGAAGGGCGAGGGATGGGTGAACCTTGAGGAAGCTGATAGAGGTGAGAGGCACATAGAGAGATGAAGCGAGAGGGAAAGAAGGGGAAAGAATGGGAGACGAGAAAAGAGAGGGCGAGCGCGCGAGGGAGACGGTAAGATAATCAGGAGAGAGAGAGAAATGATTGTGAAGGCAGAGGAAGCTGGTAGAGGAGAGAGAGACAACGAGATAGACACACACATACAGAGGAAGAGAGAGAGAGAGAGAGAGAGAGGAGGAGGAGACGAGAGGAGAGGAGACAGAGAGCTGCGAGGGAAAGAACGAGCGGTGCTCCGGAGCGAGCTCCGCGACAAGATACGAGAGAGACGGAGACGAAGAGGGAGCACTGCACCGAGTGAGAGTGAGAGAGACCGCGAGAAAGTGAGGGGAAAGAGAATAGAAGTGCGAGAGCGAGAAAGAAAGAGGAGAGAGCAGAGAGAGAGGAGGAGAGTGAAGAGAGAAGAATTACCAGAGAGGACGAGAGACGACTAAAGCCAATGGCTGGAGTAGGAGAGCAGATAAAGCGTGTAAAACAGTGAGGTGTTATTAGCTGCCGATGACCACACGTGTTTTCCCAGCGTCTGAGTAAATATTTAAAATCGCGCCTCGCTAGGCTATAATGTATGAATTCGCGCGCACCGAAGGGACCACTGCCCGAATATTACGAGCATGCCCGAACCAATCACTGCACCACTGACTCGAATCTAGCTAGAATGTCTACAGTGCAGTCTCATGATCCCTGGATGACGTCCACTGATGAGTATGACACAGCGCGGCGAGGTAATGACGACGTGCGAACATTGCGAAGAATAAATATGTAACGATGCATAACATGCGTTAGAATCTGCATTAGATCTAGTTTCGTGTGCTTGTCCTTAGAGATATTAGATCTCTCATGCATCGCTCGCTCGTTTGCTGACGCCTACTGCCTGCGCCTGCTGTACTGCTCTGCGTGCCTGCTCCCTGCTACTGCTGCTGCTACTGCTACTGCTGCTACTGCGGCCTGCTGCCTGCTGCCTGCTGCTGCTGCTGCTGCTGGCTGCTGCCTAACTACTGCTTACTGCTACTCAACTACTGCCTAATACTGCTGCTGCTGGCTGTGACTGCTATTGCCTCTGCCTACTGTGCTACTGCTAGCTACTACTAACTATACTTACTACTGACTACTACTACTACTGACTACTACTACTACTGACTACTTGACTACTACTGCCTGCTTGCTACTACTACTACTACTACTTACTACTACTACTACTGCTGCTGCTGCTGCTGTTGCTGCTGGGCCTGCTGTTGCTGCTGCTGGCTGCTGCTGCTGCTGCCCTGCTGCCTACTACTACTACTACTACTTCTGCGGCGCCGCGGCGGAGCCTGCCGGACACGCCGCCGCCCGACAGACTATGCTACTGCTGGTGCTGGCCCTGCCTGCTGCTGCTGCTGCTGCTTACTTATTATACCTACTTACTACTACTACTACTACTACTACTTACTACTATATAGCTACTACTACTGCTGTGCTGCTGCTGCTTGCCTGCTGTTGCCTGCTGGCTGCGCTCCTGTTGCCTGCTGCTACTACGTACTACTGCTGCTGCCTGCGTGCTGCTGACTACTGCTCAGTACAGGTGCATAAGCATGGTTTAGATTGACTTGTTAGTTCGTGGCCGTAGCCGGACGCCAGCACCGGTCGTCTGCTTTCCTTGCGAATATTTAAGATCTATCCATAGTGCATTCGCCCGCTTTGCTGCTGTACTGCTGCTGCTCTCGGCACTGCTGCTGCCTTGCCTGGTCTGTTCGCTGACTGCTTGCTGCCATACTGCCTACTGCTACTGCTGCTGCTGCTGCTCTGTCTACGTATGCTACTACTGCTTTTACTACTACTACTACTACAATACTAATACTGACTACTACTTATACTACTATACTACTACTACTTACTACTACTACGTACTTCTACTACGTGCTGCTACTTACATACTTACTACTACTACTACTATAACTATACTACTCACATACTACTACTCCTACTACTACTACTGCCCTGTCGTGCTGCTGCTGCTTGCTGCCTAAATGGCTGCCTGCTGCGCTGACTGCTGCTAGCTGCCTGGCTGGTTGTGCTGCTACTCTCACTAGATGCTGCTGCTGTGCTACATACTACTGCTGCTGCTGCTGGCCTACTAGCTAGACTACTAGCTTACTACTGCCTACTGTGCTGCTGCTGCCTGCTGCCTGCTGCCTAGCCTGACTTATTACTACTGTACTACTACTACTATTACTCTAACTACTACTGCTGTGCTGCTGCTGCTGCTGCTGCTTGCTGCTTGCCTGCTCCTGTTGCTCCTGCTACTTACTTACTACTGCTGGCTGCTGCTGCCTGGCTACTTACTGCTAGCTACAGATGCATGAACATGGTTAGTTTGCATTAGTTAGTTCGTGTGTTTCCTTAGCAGATATTTAAGAGTCTCTCAGACATTCGCTCGCTGTTGCTCGCTGCTACTGCTGTTGTCTGCTGCCTACTGCTACTGCCTGCTGCTGCTGCTAGCTGTACATCTGCCTGCCTACTGCTACTGATGCTGCTGCCTGCCTGCTGACTACTACTACTTCTACTACTGCTGCGACTACTACTACTACTATCACCTACTACTACTATACTTAGCTGCTACTACTCTGTACTGCTGCTACTGACTGACTAGCTACTATACTACTACTCGCTAGTTACTAGTAACTCTAATACTCACTACTACTACTGCTATACTATTACTTATGCCTGCTGCTGGCTGCTGCCTGCTGTTGCTAATGCTGCTGTGCTGCTCGCCTGCTTGCTGGCTTGTTGTGCTGCCTACTAATACTAATGCCTGCCTGCTTGCTCTACTGACTACGGTGTCTGATGTGCCTGCTCATGCTGCTTGCTGCCTGTACTACTACTGACTACTACTATACTGACTACTGCTACTGCTCTACTGCTGCATTTAGGTCTATGCCCCAGGTACTGCCGGAGTACTGGGTACGGCTACGGTAACCGGAAACGTACCCTGCGTGGGTAAACCTAATCTAGCTGACTATTGGTTTCAGGCTGCTCATAGTGTATTGGGTTAAGTTTTAGGGTTAGATTATGTTAGGGGTTAGGGTTAGGGTTAGGGAGCTAGGTTGAGTGCGACTGGTCGCGCGTAGACTCGTGTAGTGGAGTAGCGAGCGTCTCGTGTCTGGCATATTCGATAGGCTGGCGTATGTTTCAGTTACCAGGGTACGTTCTCGTATACCGGACCGTACCCAGGTTACGTCCGGCAGTGCCCTGCGGGCGCATAGACCCTATTTCGCCACTAACTACTACTGCTGCACTGCTGCTCCTGCTACTATCTACTACTGACTGCTACTACTACTGCTTCTACTTACTACTCGACTACCTAGTAGCTCTACTGCCGGGGTCCTGCTTGCTGCTGCTGGCTGCTACTACTGTGTGCTGCTACTGCCTGCCCTGCTGCTGCTGATACTACTACTGTGCTGCTACTGACTACTGTCTAGCGTGCTTCGTGTGCTGCCTACTACTACTTGCTGCTACTGACTACTACTACTGCCTCCCTACTACTACTAGCTTAGTACTGCTGCTGGCTGCTGCTTGCTGCTGCTGTGCGTCTGGTTACTGCTACTGCTGCTTGTCACTCATCGTCCGTACTTAACTCACTACTACACTACTACTCGGACTAACTACTACTATTACTTACTACTATGCACACTGCTGTTTGCTGCTCGCTGCGGGCTGCCGGCTGCTTGTTGCTGCTGCGTGCTACTGGCTGCCTGCCTGCTGCTGCCTACTACTAGCTCTACTACTACTACCTACTACTATAGCTACTAGCTACTACTACTACTACTTGCGTGCCTTGCCTGCTGCTGCTCTGCTGCTGCTGCCGGCTGACTCTGCTGCGGCTCTGCCTCTGTTCGGCTTTTGCCTCGTGCCTACTCTACTCCGATACTATACTGACGTACGGGTGACTACCTACTACTGACTACTAACTGTTGGCTGTTGTGCTCGCTAGCTGCTGCGGATGCTGATGCTACTCATCACACTACTGCTGACTTGCCGACATCTACCACTTGGCTACACCGAAATCTATATTTGTTTATATTTTTATTTATGTGCACTAGTTTGATTGTTGCTTTTGATTATATGGGTCCACGTTATTAAAGATGGTAATGATATTAAAGAAATGAATAGCATAATAATATATAATTGGAAATCAATTGTATTATGTATATAAAGTATTAATAGTAATACACTGGTGAGTATAGGCTTGGCACGGGCCTTATCGGCGGGGCTAGTTCTCCTCTCCTACGACCTCGATCACAGGGCCGGTTGCGGGCAACTTTTCGGCGAGACCGCTGGGGAGTTGTTACCCGGAGGGGGAGGAACCCGTTGTTGCGGTAATCTCTCGGGTAATGCGCGTCGAGCGCTGCGGGGTCGCTGAGCACACCAGCCTCGGCCCGGACGGCGACGACGACCCTCGCGGCCACCTCCGGCGCGCTTCGCCTCGACGACCGACCGGTACACGGCGTCCGGCCTTGTCGGTCGATAGAACGAGCCCCGCCGTGCTCGCGCCCGGCGCAGACGACGGAGCGCAGGCGGCGAGGGAAGCGGCGTTCGGCCGTGTTAGTGGCCCCGGCCCCCCCAACGCATTTTTTTTCCCAGCCGATACCCCGCGCCCATAGTCCGACGACCCCGCACCATCCGGCCACGGCAGGTTATCGAAGGGCATAGGGAGAAAAGAGCGATGGTAGCGAGCCAGAATAAGGAGAGAAAGATAGGAAAGAAGAGAGAAGAGGCAGCGAAGATATGGAGAGAGAGGAGATAAAAAGGAGAGGAGAGAAGAGAGATGAGAGAGAGAGAAACGAGAGAGAGAGAGAGGAGAGAGAGAGAGAGAGGAGAAACGAGAGGACTGAGGGGAGAGAGAAAGAGAGCAGATGACAGAGACGAGAGACGGAGAAGAGCTGACGAGAGAGAGAAAAGATTGGGCGAATGGGGAGATGCGCTAACAGTATAATCACTGAGCTACGCAGCAGGAATACCGTAGACACATATCGCATCACATTGATATTCACAGTGTGAGACGACAACCATTAATCTATACTTTATACGTATATATATATATATATTATACGCCATGTCTGTTTAGCAGTCATGTATAATGTATGATGACAGCTGATCATGAAATTTTACATTTCTCCTGTTTCAGGCTATCGTCACGTGACGTTGGAGAACTGGGAAGGCGAACCGATGCCGCTATCAACGCTGTTCGTATATGTCTCAACGCGCTCCGAGAAAAGCTATGGCTAACAACACACACACACACACACACACCCCCCCCCCCCTACACACACACACCACACCACACACACACACACAGCACACACACGCGCGCGCGCGCGCACACGGACACGGTGGAGATGAAGCTAGGTATTTTTGGAATGGCATTTTGAGACTGGGATCTCGATAATTGGATTCATATTTATATCGGTGACGTACGTTTACAAACATGCAATTGTGGGCTGTCATGTGTGAACACTGATGAATATATATATATATTATATATATATATATATTATATATATATTATATATATCGATGATGTATGTTTAAAAATACACGTGACTGCATGTTGTTATTGCTCATGCATGAATTCCACAACGATATTTATCGAGGCGTTGTCATGGCGACCGACGTGATTTTAGACGGCGTCTATAGAATATTCGCTCTCCGTCACAGCAGGTGCTTAATTCACTGGCGATGTATGGGAGTGATGGCGGCGAGGTGAGAGCGGCATAGTGGAGCTGTCGCCAGCCCCGACTTAATCGCCATTATTTAACACGTTGAGAAACATCGCTAGTTCTAGCAGACGCCTTGCGACCAATCAGCGATGGCGGCCGTGATTACGTCAGTAGGACGTGATATCAAAGAAGTTATATTATCGAGGGAAATCAATTGTGTGAGTGATCTTACTAACGCTGCAGGAAGCTGCAGGAGAACGGTTGTTGTCGGATGTACCACTCCCTTCTCTATCTCTCTCTCTCTCTCTCTCTCTCTCTCTCTCTCTCTCTCTCTCCTTCCTCTCTCTCTCTCTCTGCTCTCCTCTCTCTCGCCTATCTCCCTCAGCCATTTTCTCTCTTTTCCCCCTTCTCTCTCCCTCTGTCCGTCCCTTCTTCCCTTCCTTCCCTCATGATCTCTATCTCTCTCTGCATCCTCCACGGATACATTTCGTCGCTTGCACTGACGGTTTATGCCACGTGATCATGCCACCTGACGGCGCATGCGCAATTACAGCACGAGCAATTAAAATGTGTTAAAATTTTAAGATTTTAAATATGATCGCGCGAGTGACATACACACAGAGTTATCTCCCTTAATTAGGGGGAAGCTGCGTCGATATCACCGCATCCTTGTTAGATGCAAAGTTCGCTGACGGATGAAAAACTTATAATTTAATTAGCGAGTGGTTAGAATATGTTTCCTCGACCATCGAGGTCACGTTTTTGTGTTATAATTGTGTGATTTTTAGATTGTTAGATATGTTTTAATAAGATGAAGAAGGTTGAAGACGTTTTCTAGCGTTTGCCGCGAGTGTGCGAGAAATATATTTATAGGTGATTTTTTTATAGTAATTTTATAATGTATATCGTGTACGATCGCGTTTCGTTGTGAGATTGTGACGTAATTATGTACGTAATCATGACGCTCTGTACTCCTTACGTGATTAAGTATTAAAAAATTAAAAAAGTATCTAACGAAAAACACCGACGTTTGGCATTAAACTAACATCAGCTTTTTTTATTTTTCATAAAGTCGAAGCAAATGTTTATGTACATACATACAATTATAAGCGTTACTTCGTGCAGTTAGTGAGAATTCGGGCTTCTATCCCGTGGCCGCCATGTTTGTGCCGCCATGTGGCAGCCATGTTTGTGCCGCCATATGAATACGGCGTTTTTTAGCACAGGCGAACCTCCCACAATACGGCGTTTTTTAATCTAAAACTAACAACGCGTGAGCGTGACTCAACGCTGCAGAGATGGGCGGCTGAAATAGAATCGAGTCATTACAGCTAAAATACACAATTAAAACACGCTCACGGTGTATTTACAGAATCATTTCGACATGGATGAGAGAATAACGAGGCATAAAACTGCTTCCTATCAGGTTGGCAAATCTTTTGAACGAACCATGTAATGCCGACGCAGGCTTCCTGCAAAAACGCCCTGTAAAATAGCCATCCGGACGGACACGGCTATAGTTATAACGTTATCAGCAGATGCTCTGTTGCAGGAATACGCGTTTAGTGGGTTTAACTTCACAATCTGTCATTTACATTTATACGTATATACTTAATCTACATCTTATCGCATAAATAACGCGCTGCAAAGGAACTATAGGCGCATTTTTTGTACACACGCGAGATTGATTTCCTCGATAAAAGCAAGACGGGAGTGATATCGTGAGGCTGATGCCTCTATTGAACATTCTACTAATTTCTATACGGAATCGTTGGCAAGATTCTACAGCCGTTGTATGTACATGTGTTGTGCGCAGGCCGCCCTCACTGCTTGCCCCCTTCATTCCTAGCGGAGTGCGTTAGCGGTTATAGAGCTCTCTGGTGCAAAAGTGACCGAATAAAATATTAAATTAACGAAAATCTTCGCGCAAAATGGCGGACGTTCACTCGCGGAAAACAAGTGGTCATCCTCCGCGCGTCGTCGGGGCGGGACGCCACCTAGCGGCCGTCTTACAGGCGCTCGAGTGGCTCCACCCAAGGGTAAGTCTCGGGGCAATCTGAGCAGGTCTGGAAGTAGCGCTCCCCCGGGTGTTCCTCGTCGTTGGGCTGATACGTGATGTTGAAATATCCACACAGGTTCGGTCGCTCGCAGAGTCGCTCTCGCTGCTCCGTCTGGCGGCAGTCGAAGAAGCCAGGCATATCGGAGGCGCGGCGGGGAGCTCTCATCCACTGTACGACCTGACTGTAGGTGACGAAGTAGACATCACGCAGTCCCGCTAGCTCGTCCAGGAACTCCTGCAGTGCCTCTAGGTTGTGGTGTCCGTCGTTAAGGAACCAGCGTGCGCGAAGGTTGATCGGGAACGGAGCTCGGTTAGTCTCGTAGTGACGAGCAAAGTTAGTGCGCAGCAGCTCCAGCGCCTCCGCCTTGTCGTTAGGGAAGTAACAACTATCCACGTTCTCACACAGAGTGTCGTTAGTGTCGATCCAGTCTACCAGGGGGATCTCCCATACGTCTGGGTGGGAGCGGACGGGGCAGGGAGCGACGGCGCAGCCTGCCGTGGAACGGTAGGTGAAGGTGTACGGCCACAGTGGCGGGTCGTTCACGTCTGTAGCGAAGCTAGAATCCCAGACGAACCCGCGCTCTGCCAGCATGTCGATGGTGGCGTCACCTGCCGTCTGTAGGTAGGGGGCGCGCATGCCGACGATGTCGGCGACGGGCACGTGACCGAGCGTGGAGAGGAGCAGACGGTTGGTGAGTATCTCTTCGCTCCACGTGCGTACGGTCGAGTCACGCCAGTACGCTGCTGGCAGTCGCTTACTGTGCGGGAGAGAGACAGAGACAGATATATATCTATTATTATTTATAACCACATCTCGTGATCTCACGCGAGCTCTCGCCCATCAATCCGTAAACACAAGAACATGCATCGCAGACGGCGTGACGTCATCGCTGCTCACCTGACGGAGTGCGTGGCAAACTCGTTGCCTTCTGAGTAAAGACTTTGTACAGCGGCATAGTCCGTGAACTGATGGCTAGTGAAGAAAGTGCCCACCAGGGGGCAGCCGTCCGGGTTCGTGCGTGGCTCCCTCTGTCGTCTGCCAGCTCCGACCTGGATGACGTCAGTTCATGTTGAATGTATATATTTTCCACATATTTATTATTAATCATTTATTTCATTCTATTGATTCATTTTCCCTGTTATATGCCCTGCATGTCATATTTAAATTTGTTTTATATCCGTGTTTGCGCATGCGCGTCGCTACCTTCTTGAAGATCTGTTGGTAGAGGTGGTTGTAGTCTTCTAATCTCACAGCTTCGTCCCAGGCGAGCATCACTAGCTGTGGAACCTCGTTGGGTGTGAGTCCGCCAGGTATGTCGGCAGACGTGCAGCGGCAGTTAGGAAGCCTGCAGTTATTCTCGTCGCATGGTGCGGCTGTGGTGTAGAGGTATATTAGCAGACGAATATATTTATTTATTTATTTGTGTATATATATATTGATTGATTGATTGATTGATTGATTTGTATATATATAAATACCGCAGTCGAGTTCATCTGATGCGTCTGTGCAGTGCGGTGTGCCGTCACATACTCCCGTGTAAGCGATGCAATCCTCGCCACTCTCACACTGAAACTCACACGCCTCGTACACTGCAGTAGATAGCAAGCAATAAACACAGTTGCACGATGCTAGAATATAACTATGATACAGCTGCTACCATCTCCTCACCCACCCGCACGTTAATCTTTGGTTTGATATGTAGCTTCAATAAATTAGATTAATTTTCTTAATGTTAATTAATAATTAATTTCTTAGATGGATTTTTGGCCGACGCGAACACTCTGTAGTGATGGCTGCGCAGAATGCGAAGTCGATACGCAAGGCGACAAGGTTTGAAAAACGCAGAGTCACGTGAATAAATGATCACGATATAGAAAACACGCGCCGGTTTTCTCTGTAAGTTGACGCGACGGACCTGGCGACGGCGGCGGCGGCGGCGGCGGCGGCAGCGGCGCGGGGGAGGGGGGGGGGGTAACTAGGGTATCGAACCTGTTTGTTAAATACACACGCACGCGCACACGCACACACGCACACGCACGAACACACGCACACACGCACACACACACGCACACACGCACTGGCACGAACACACGCACACACGCAGACGCGTAGAGTGGTGATCAGTATAATATATTATATCATATATAATATTGGCGCGCGTGGATGGATGCCCGCACAATGAGGCGTGACGTATATACACGGATGGATGCCCGCACAATGAGGCGTGACGTATATACGCGTTATATCGTCTCTCTACATCACACACGCCTCCCCCACACACGCCTCCCCCACACACGCCTCCCCCACACACGCCTCCCCCACACACGCCTCCCCCACACACGCCTCCCCCACACACGCCTTCCCCACACACGCCTCCCCCCACACACGCCTCCCCCACACACGCCTCCCCACACACGCCTCCCCGACACACGCCTCCCCCACACACGCACGCACGCATGCACATACACACACACGCATTAACTCTTCATCCCGATCTTTAGAAATCTCCCGGGAGGAAAATATCGCTTCACTGCCATCACCGATATTAAACATCGATCGGAAAATTGCGACCGTTTATTGGCAGAAATTAAACAGATATTATACCTCGTCCCTCGTGCGTTGACGCCTGCATAGAGATGAAATTAGCAAGCGAGAGAATTGGAGGGGTTAAGAAATAGAGAGCGCGAGAGAGCGAGGGATAGAGATTGAGAAAGAGAGAGAGAGAGTGAGAGAGAGGGAGAGAGAGAGATTTAATATAGATAGAGGGGGTAAAGAAGGGGAGAGAGAGAGGGAGAAAGAAAAATGACACAGAGAGAGAAAGAGAGAGAGAGAGAGGGAGAGGGGTAGAGAAGGGGCGGCAGAGAATAGTAAATAAGCTTACATTGAATGATCTCCTCCCCGTCTGCACCGATTACGATCGGTCTCTCGGGCCGCACGTAGGCACAGATCACATTTTCTGCGTCGTATGGATCCAGGCATCTCTCTTCTGTCGGCGTCCACACCGTATCCCCGGGACAGATCCTGTCGCCATGGTAACCACGCGTTAACAGAGGCGCCGGCAGTGATTGGTGGGCGTGTGCAACAGCAGCAGCAGCAGATGATGATGATGATGTTACGATAAAGACGCGCAATTTTAAAGTCTAATCACTGCAGCTAATGTATGACTTAGAAACCATCTATCAAGACTCAGACATGGCGTGGCCTTCATCCAGCAGAGCTAATAACACAGCTTGGTATTCATCTAGCTATTAGGCTCATACTGAAGCTATCATGAATGCTGTTGGTCTGCTTTCATATCTTCCCCTCGACCAGCGCATCCGATATAGCGAAACGCGCGTCAGAATATCACGCGATAAAACCTTTACAATATTTCACAGACCACTGATGCAGGAACAACTAACGTTGGTCATATATGTATATATATATATATATTATATATATATATATATGTGTGTGTGTGTGTGTGTGTGTGTGTGTGTGTGTGTGTGTGTGTGTGTGTGTGTGTGTGTGTGTGTGTGTGTG